GTCCTGTGTGAGCTGTCCCTGAAGGAGGTAAGAGGAAGGGCTGCTAGGAGCAGGGCCTTTTCTGCAGCTGCTCCCCATATCTGGAATGCTCTCTCCAAGGAGATTTGGCTGGCACCTTCCTTACTTTCTTTTCAACACCAGGTGAAGACCTTTCTTTATTTTTTAAATAACTATTTGCCATAAGACCTTTGCTTTGTATTTTGGCTTTATTTTATTGTTGTTTTTAATGTGTTATTGGTTTTTATTATGTTTCTATTGTTTTTTTATCTTGTGGTTGTGAGCTGCCCAGAGTTGCTGTGGCACAACTGGGCGGCATACAAATGTTTTAAATAAAAAAATATTCCACTTTTCTTCCAAAGAGTTCAAGGCAGTATATATGGTCCTTTCCCCAATATTTTTACCTTTACAACATTCCTACAAAGTAAGCTTAACACTTAGTCAACTTTATAGCTGAGCGGGAATGCAAACCTGTGTTTCCCTGTTCCTAGGCCTGCACTCTGACCAGGACTGCATTTCTAAGTCTAATACACACTCACATGCTCTGCACATTCCAGAGCAATCTGTGGCGTAGAACTTAGCTATCCTCCAGCCTTTATACTTTCTGAGTGGCCGGACACAGTTCTTGGCTGAATAAGCATATAAAATGTGTTTCTGAATGTAGAATTGCATCTTTGGAGAGGCTAGACAGGCCTGTAGATTGACAGGAGGAAAAAATGGATTGGTGGAGTTATGCAGAAGTAGCACAGACTGATCCACCCACCACAACTCTTCATTGGAGTGATAAAGGGGCTTCTGTGGGACTTCTGGTGTGTTGAAACTGGGTCAGGGGCTGGAACTAAACATTATAGAAGTAACACAGGCACTGTGTTTAAGAGTGGGTGGAAATTGCATTTGGTTCAGGGTCACTGTCATAACCTGGATGGAAAGAAGCTGGCATTTAAAACATTTACATATGGGAGGAAGAACAATGAACAGATTTGTCAGCCTAGGCAGAAGTCTTTCAGTGCTTGAAAGTTTGGGTTTGAATCACAAGTTTGCAATGCTGAACTGGGATTGGTGTCTTGTTTTTCTAGCAGGCTCCTCAGCTTTGATAGCTACGTTGCAGGCAGATGCCTCAAGGAATAGCTCTACCTATTGAATTTGCTGGTGGAGATGGGTGAGAATTTCATTGTTTGTTAAGAACTTGTCAAAATTCACAAAGGTCTGCATGGAATGAATTTAAAACATCCACGTGAAGGAGAAAGCCAAACTGATAGATTTGTCAGTTCTTAGCCAGCACAGAAAGCTTCTAGCCCTGCATCTCCTCTTTCTCAGTCCATGGTACAGAGTTAGTAGCATTATATCATTTTCCAGCAAATGGCAGCCCATGAAGCAGGGATAGAAAACATGATGGGAGGGGATTTAGTGTTGTACCAGCTTGTGCTATTTAATATGTAGCTAATTATGTGCAATTCTATGGCGCCCAAGAATTGAAGTTCCATGGGTGCAACTGATTAAGCGATACAATTAAATGCAGACAGGTCTTAACATCTTAAGAAGCCCAAATTGCCAAATCCTTTAAAAGCCCCGTAAAGGGCTCCTAGAAAGAATGCAAAAGTATTTGCCTGTATCAAAAGGAATAGAAAGCAGGAGACAGCTAAGCTTCTGATAAGGCCAGTCTGAAATAGCTGTGGTACATGAGAAAAGATCTTCTCTCACGTACAGTAGCTCCCTGGAGAATCTCGATTGGCATGAGCCATTCAGAAAGGGGCCTTGGAAGATGGCCTCACCTTCCAGGGAGGAATATATGGGAGAAGGCAGTCCTTCAGGTAATCTGACCCAAACTTTTTAGGGCAGGGGCCTTGAACCTCTTTCAGCCCAAGAGCCCAATTCCATTTCAGAGAAGCTTGGGGGAGGGTGTTGCTTTCTTTGGTAGGTATGGCACAAAGGCAAACTGGGCAAGCCCATCAAAGTTACCTTCCAAAAATACCTCTAAAAATATTCAATGTTATGTGGCTAGAAAGGAGGAGTCACCTTCCTTTTGAGGACAAAGTGACTCCTGTTATATCAGAGAGAAATCCTGTGTGGCCTATCTTGGAGCAGAGCAGCAAATATTGCCTTTCCAGGGATTCCTGAAGCTGAACATTTCATTATTTGGGCTCTTAGATAAAAATGGAGTCTGACATGCTTAGTTAACTGTCAGATGCAGGGAACATTTTCTTCTTGACTCCTGTGAGCTTTATCTTGGAGCAATGACACTTTGATTACCATTATCATTATCATAAGCTGCATAGCTACACATGTTGCTAATGGTCACAGAATTGTAGAGCTCTTTATTAAACTCAGGCACATTATTTGTCTCTTGCTTCAGTGCCTCAACAAAGCCAGGAAAGGAGGAGTGTTCGTATGTGGTGTGTTTGAACACTTAAAAACTGAATTTAATTTTCCTAAGATGACACTGTGAGTGGAGAGTTAAATATTTCTTATCTGAAGCAAAGATGTGGCATTATTTCTATTGCTTTCTGAAAATCTGATGGAGGATTCTTACTACTGCACACAGATTTCATCATGTTAGCCATCCTAAATCTCAGCAACAGTAGATATCTACTTTAGGGGTTCAATCCAGAATTTGCCTTCCATGAGAAGAAAAGACTTTCAGTGAGAGGAAGTGCTCTGCTCATGGATGGTCCCTCAAACAGATACTTGGAACTGCTGCTGCTCCTGCACTGCGCCTGTCCCATTTATCATTTTGGCATCTTCCAAGGGCTCACGGGGTTGCTGTGGCAAGGAAGGGAAGAGAAAGTTAACTTGCACTAGTGCAGCTGGTTCATCATAAATGCGGATCCAACACCAGTGTTATAACACACTTCTGAGCAGCGTGCTGGTTACGGATTTAATTTGCTTTGCCCTGGCAGTGCTGACACTTGAATCTCTGTATAATAAAAAGGGTTAATCAGAAAAACAAACAAATCCCAGTGTCATTTCCTACTGCTCCTCTTCTGTAGCTTCTGCAAGGAGACATGTTTTGCATGCCTTGTCTTACCACCAAAGCTTAGTGCTTCAATATGGTATTCAAAAGCATCTCTGAAATCCAATAGCTGGTTGTCTGACAGTATCCTAAGTGGGCTTTATTTTGCCTGAAATAAAGAAAACTTCTAGTAACTAGGGCTGGAGTATTGTGTGAAAGGACCGTGATCTATGTGCGGCTTTGATATTCTCTCTCTCTCTCTCTCTCTCTCTCTCTCTCTCTCTCTCTCTCTCTCTGTCTATCTATCTGTCTGTCTGTCTGTCTATCTATCTATCTATCTATCTATCTATCTATCTATCTATCTATCTATCTCAGGCATTTATATCCTGTCCTATCGCCAAGCGCTATCAAAGATACCAAAATTAATTCCTGGGTTCTTTTTTCTTCTACTAGAACTGCCAAGCAAAGTCTAGTGCAAAGGACACAGAATCAGATAGTTCTCTAGTTTTTTAAAAAGAAGAACTAGATACTGCTATTCTAGTTACAAAAGCAAGCACAAGCCTAAGGTCTCCCCAGCCATAAGCCAGTCATCAAAATAAGTGTAGGTCAGTCATTAATAGGAGATATGCTTGGATAAAATGAGTAAAGCTTGATCATGTGTTATGGCTGCCACTAAAGATAGCAATTGCTCACTTTAAAAAAATACACTGGGGGGGCACTGAATATGCAAAAAAAGCAAAGTTATTCATAGGCTTTCTTATGATTCTGAGTTTCTGTACAATTGTTTTCTTAACCATACTTGAACACACCTTTTAAAATGGGTTTGTATTTGGCTTCCTTTAGGGTGCTTTCCATGAATAAACGAAATAAATTGAAATGGCATCATGCTGGCTGTGTAGTACCCAGTGTAGTACCCAGTGATGGGTGCGGCATAGAAATGTAATAAACAAACAAACAAACAAACAGTAGCTTAGGAACTTGTCTTTCCTACAGAGTGGAAAACTTCGTATTACTCCCCAAATTTCAGTATTTAACTTCCTATCTTGTAAATAATGGACAGACTTTCTGTTTGCTGATGCAGTTCATTTGTTTATAATATTAGTGAGTGTGCGTAGGGGGGAGATGTGAGAAGAAAGATTAGGATCTGTCTTTAGAGAAACTGAAACTGTTCACAATTCTGCTTCTGAAGTAGCAACGCCAGCACTGCTGAAAGAACACACAGACACAAATGCACACACGTCAAGGTGAGAAAAAAGAAAATTTTGTTGGTGACAGCTGTATGGGGATGATTTTTCACTCACTGGAGAGATTTGTCATAACTCATAGTCCTAAGAGAGTGTCTGTTTCTCACTGTCACCAGTGAGATAAGCTGTATTTAATACTGCACCATCAAAGCTGCCAATTTTACATTTGCATTTAGTGGTACAGTTGCAAATTAAATGCACCGCCTTACCTTTCCTTAGGTTTCTGGAGGGTAAATGGATGTAATTATATTGGGGGGTGGGGATCTTAATCCATGAAAAGTTCTACTGTATAGTTTGCTATTTTAGTGAACACAGTTGTAGCTCATATTTTAATGAACTATATTTTAATAACTTTTTCCTTATCACAAAAAGGAATCTATTAGAGTCAATTTCTTTATTTTATAAGATGACTAGGTAGAGACAATAGATTGTATCCAATATTAGCCTAACTTAAGTCTCATTCATTTCACTGGGTCTTTTCTAAGTAGGGTTAGCATTGGCTATAACCCAATGGTTTTGCAAGAAAATGTCGGAACAGTTGCCATTTAATCGGCAACTTCTCTAATGAAAGAAGTTTCTTAATTGAAATAAAGTCCAAACATACATGCATTATAGAGTTGCCCCTGAATATCGATTGATAAGAAAGACAAGAACGGAAGTTGCCCTGTTGATTGCATTGTGTGTTTTCCATTGTTTATTTAAACAAGAAGTGGAATCAAGCACTTCTCAGGGGTGAGGGCTCTAATATGTTAAAATACAAATCAGACTGAAACAACCTCTTGCTGTTTTCTTTAGAAGGCCACTGAGTTAATTGAAAAGTGCTGCTTAGACTTTCTTGGGCCATGATGGCATAAATCTAAAGTAAAGGTGACAAGCATACAATGATTACACTTCTTCACTATCGGTGTGTCCTGTGTCTGAACTATTTATTAACTGGAATGTGAATGGGCAATGAAGGGCTAATTTATTTGTTACACTGAGAGATGTATTACAACTGCCTTAAACATTGATTTCATTCTTTCTCCTATTCTTGGGTGGGATATACACACAGAGAACAGCAGTAATATGGGGCTTCCTTATCAGATCTTGGATATTTCCCGAGACTGTCTGCAACCATTAACCTTGCGTATTATCTGACTTTAGTGATTAGTACAGGGCACATAAAACCGTATTGATGGCCAGTCTTGGGGGAGAATACTGAGCTGAATTATTGGAGGTTTGATTTTGCTGACTTTGTGATACGAATGATAGTATTATGCCAGTGCTGGGAAATTGCTAATTTGTCATTTCTTTCATGATGTAGTCAATGGTGTGATACTAATGAATGAGGCCCATAATTGCATGATATGGAATTGTAGTTTCCTGGGTGCATGTTGTAGCAAGAGGGAAGGAGTGTTGGGACTCTCTTTTGTTCACTAAGGCAGCACAATGTAGCTGCAGACGGGGCTGTATCACTGGAGATTTTGGATGCTCCCAGCTTGGAAGGAAGGAAGGAAGGAAGGAAGGAAGGAAGGAAGGAAGGAAGGAAGGAATGCAGGCAGGCAGGCAGGCAGGCAGGCAGGCAGGCATTCCACATGTTGGAGAGATGGGCCCATTTTTCGCAAAAGACATCACTCCCTGTGAGAAGGTTCAGACTCTGAATGCGAACTAGGTGGAAAAGGAGAGGGGTTGAAATGTGGCACAGAAATTTCAAGGTTAATGAGCAGGATTTGTCAGAGAGCTGCTGAGAACCAAACCACCTCAGGTTTGAAGGAAAACCATAGGAAGGATTGTGTGACACAAGAAGCCATGGTGAAATCATGAATCTGTTGTGACATCTAGACTCAGTTCCTGAGTTCCTGTGTGGTAGGATTAGTTTTCTGAAACCACGGAGAGAGTCAGTAGTCTGTTCTAAGCTTTCCACACTTTACCATAACTCCTCTAGCTGCCCAGACCCAGGATCACCATTTTACCATTGTTGATATGGAAACACCTGAGAGACTCGTAGCAAGAGCAGCCATGGAAGCAGCAGCTTCTAGCCTTCAAGCTCTAGCAACAGAGGCCGAATTGCTTGTTGTATTCCTTTTGCCTACATGTCTATCTTCTGGTTTACTTTCAGAAACGGGAAGCAGCCTGAAAATACATGCAGGGACAAAGGGGGATTGCAGTGAAACTGTTTATTTTCAGTGAATTAAAATTTCCATCGGGGCTGGAGCAGCTGGGGAGCACAGCAGACATGCAGGTACACCAGGGAGACAGGAGGGGGAACATGCCTGGGGACTGCAGTGGACCGATGAAAAGGAGGTTGCTGTGGTCCATAGGTAAGAAGAAGGAAAAGATAGGAGGACAGAATGGGGAGCAGTTCACTTGACTGGTGGATTCAGACAAAAATCCACATGCTGTGACCACTGTGCAGGGTTGTTTGCCAGTTTATATGAACTATAGAATAGGGAGGGTCTGAGCAGGAGGGTGTGAATTCCTTAATTCAGTGAGCCAGCATCAAGCCAATTGAGCAGTCCATTTAAGTACTTTCCAGTGTTCCCACAATCTGGCCTGCAAACAATGTGAACCTCCCTGAGGGTGGAGTCAAGCCTTTTGGGAAAGGAAGGAGGAGGGGGCCCTTTGCTTGCAGCTTGAATGCTTCTAGGGTAGGAGAGCCCACAACCTTCCAGGGTAATTGGTTCCATTGTCCTACTATTCTAACAGTCAGGAAATTTTTCCTGGTATCTGGCTTTCTTAACTTGAGCCCATTATTCCATGTCCTGCACTCTGGGGTGATGGAGAAGAGATCCTGTCTCCCTACTTTGTGACAGCCTGTCAAGCACTTATAGAGTGTTATCATATCTCTCCTTAGTCTTCTCTTCTTGAGGCTATACCTGTCCAGTTCATGCAATCTCTCCTCATAAGGCTTTGTTTCCAGTCCCTGAATCGTCCTTGTTGCTCGCCTCACAACTTTTTCCAGTCTCTCTGCATCATTCTTCAGTGGGGTGCCCAGAACTGGCCACAATACTCCAGATGAGGCCTAACCAGGGCGACTTTTTTATATTGTTAACTTGTTTTATATTTTTATTGTATAATATTTTAATTGATATATTTGTGAGCCGCCCCGAGGCTTCGGCGAATGGGGTGACATAGAAATTTTCTAAATAAAAATAAATAAATAAATAAATAAATAAATAAATAAATAACCAGTGCTGAGTAAAGGGGAACTGGTAGTTCATGGGATTTGGAAATGATACTTCTATTAATGCAGCCTAAAATAACATTCCCACAGTCCATCAGGGAAGTTACCCAATCAAAACATGAAATCAGTTTAGTCTGGCAGAATTTGTTCTTGAGGACCCATGCTGGCTTCTAGTAATCACTGCATTGTTTTCAAGGTGCTTGCAGACTAACTATTTCATAATCTGCTCCAAAAATTTTCCAGAGATTGATGTCAGATCGACTAGTTTGTAGTTCCCAGGCTGTTCTTTTTTCCTTTTCTTGAAAGCAGGGGCAACATTAGCCCTTCTCCAGTCAGCTGGCACTTTTTCTGTCTGCCGTGATTTCTCAAAGATCACAGACAGTGGTTCTGAGTGTTCTTCTGCCAGCTCCTTTATGACTCTCGGGTGGAGCACTCTGGGCTCTGGAGATCTGAACTTGTTCAGCCCAACTAGATGATTCTTGACAATTTGCCTGTCAACCTTGCGCTTCTATCCATGCCTTCAAGCTTGTACTTCCCCTTCATTAGGAAGGTTATAACTTTTCTTCTGGGAGAAGACAAAGTAGGAATTGAGCCCTTCTGCCTTTTCCTTATGATCTGTCGTCATTTTGCCATCCACATTGGGTAGTAGAACCCCTATTTCTTTCCTCTATATTTTACTTTGAATATACCTTAAGAAGGCTTTTTTGTTGCTCTTAGCATACCTTGCTAGCTTCAGTTCATTTCTAGCTTTAGCCTTCCTGACGTCATCCCTGCAATTCCATGCTACCTGCCTCTGCTTGCCTGTATACCTTCTTTGTAGCCTGGCCTTCCTTCTACTTCCTATACATGTCCTTTTTTCTTTTCAGATCATCTCTAACTTTTGTGAAGCTACATAGGCTTCTTCTGTTGTCTTCTACCCTTTTTCCTTGTTAGAATTGACTGTAATTTAGAATTTCGTTTTTTTTTTAAATTCCCACCCATTTTGGATCCCTTTTCTCATTAGAATCACTTACCATGGGACTTTAAATATCATTGTTCTGAGTTTATTAAGATGAGTTTCTCTAAGATGCAGAGTACATGTCTGGCATCATTTGGCTTTTGCATCCTTTAGAATCAAGAATTCAAGTATGGCAAGGTCACTTCCCCTGAGAGTTCCTGTAGCTGCCACTTGGCATGCCAGGTCTTCCCTGTTGGTTAGTATCAAGGATAGCTGCTCCTCTTGCTCCTTCCTCCATTTTCTTTTGGAGGAAGTTATCAGCAACACATGTGAGCAATTTCTTGGAGGGGCTGTATTTGGCAGAATTTGTCTCCCAGTAGAAATTGGGGAAACTGTAGTCCCCCATAACCATAGCATCATGCCTCATTGAAATACTGGCAATTTGCTTTTCAAAAGTTTTGTTCTTGTCTTCTCCTTGACTGTAAGTAATAGACTCCAACCACTGTGTTCCTTTTATTCCTTGCTTCATTTATATTAATCCAGATGCTCTTGATCTGGATTACTAAGCTCATCCTCCTCTATTTCTGTTCAGAGATATGTATCTTTAACATACAGTGTGACTTCACCTCCCTTTTTGTTCCTTCTGTTTTTCTTGAACAGGTTGTATCCTTCAGTTGTTGAATTCCAATCATGGGAATCATTCTGCCAAATTTCAATCATACCTATCAGGTCATATTCATCCTCCATAAGGAGTTCAAGTTCATGCTGTTTCCTCTGGGCATTAGTATATAAACACTGCAGACCATGTGCTTTATCCTCTAGCTTTCTTCCCCTGTTTGTCTGTTGTTATGCCCAGGTGTAATTCTCCTTTTTCTTTCCCTGACTATTCCTCTTCCAAGAACTTGAAGGACTGAAGAGAAAAAGATCTGAGTCCTAAAATGCTTGACTTTCCTCCCTAAAGCTTCAAAGTCTGATGTGATTTCTTTGAAGTTCCAATTGGCAGTGTCATTTGTTCTGACATGTATAAGATGAAAGGTACACGTGTTAGTGGGCTGTATGAGCCTTGGCGGTCTTTCAGTTGTATCACTGGTCTACCCTCCAAGGAGACAGCATACCTGATGAGTCCATGGGTCTTCCTGACATACATGTGTTTCCATCCCACGTGACAGAGAGTGTCCCACAACTAATACCCTTCTCTTCTTGTTCTTGTAAATCTTGGTATCATTACCATTTCTTGGCTGACTTTTAGCCTCTTGTTCAGTGTTTCATGGGATGACTTGTAATCCTTCCATGGCAGGCTGTCTTCCAGTCTCCTCCCCAAGTAACTGAAAATGGTTCAAGAGTTCCACTACTTCCACTGGTGAAGTGTGTCTTCTGCACCTTCACCCCTTTCCAGGGAGTTTCCTCCTCATTTCCCCTTCCCTCAAGATTTTCTTCCCCTGCCTCAGCTTACTGTGTACTTCTAGCTTCTTCACTACTCTTAGCTGTTGCAGTTCCACTGCTCTGCCTAAAAACTCCTCATCTTCTTTTATTACCTGGAGGTTAAGCACTTGCTGCTCTGTTGTTCTCACCTTTTCTTCCAATAGGGCTACTAGCTTGCACTTGCTGCACGTGCCACAAGGGCTACTAGGCCATGCTGACCTTAGGCATAGCACAGATGTTGTAGCTTACCCCCACTGGGGAGACTTCATTATTCATTTGGGGGAGAAACTTCCAATTCTTGGAATTTCTGGACTATAACATAACATTCTTCTGAATCACGTTTTAATCTGTGAGGCTGAGAATTAAAAGACTACCTTACTGTTTCAATAGTGAACTTTCTTCTATTGCATTGCTGTTTGGCAGTATCATCAAAGTCCAGTAAGGAGACTGGGGTCACAGTATAGGACAGAAAGGCAATCTGTATCTGGAGCACACATTGCCATGTTCCAGTATGTGAACCTGCCAGACTTACACTGGATGGAGTACCCAGGGGTGAGGGGGTGAGAAACCGTGGGAGGCCCAGCAAGCTGTTTTGTCCCTTCGGATCCTCCAAAAGCTGCACGTAGCCCTCCGTCTCTGCAGTAGCTGCAGAGCAGCAGACAGGGCATGGTTATCTTGCAAACAAGCCAATATCAACCCTTTGGGTGGACTGCAGTCTCTACAGATGGCATTTGTTTTTTCAATTTTTAAAAAAGAAACTTGACGGGACAACAGGGCTGCAGCAGGGATGACATGAGGCCTGTATGTCAAATTCTGACCCTCCTGCTTTAGAAGATGGGTGGACAATCTCTGGCCCCTGATCCTGCTGATGTAGGCTACCCATCTGGTCCCCAGAAGGCTGGGCTTCCTTCATGGCCACAATCTGCTCCTGTCCATGAAAGCAACATGCCTGCCTGCTGGCTCTGCTCTGTTCCCACATAGCTTTTCTAAATTTAAATCTTGATAAATTTGAATAACAGCACAGGTTTCTTTAAATAAATCATGGTTGAAGTAAAGGAATTCAATGAATCCCTGAGAGAGGTGCAGATGGGGGACATCAAGGAAAGTTACAACTCTCCCTGCCACACACAACACACCATCACCCCCCCCTTTTTTCCCCCTAAACCTGGCTCTTGAGACTTGAGGCTTGACTTGAGACTTGACTCGAAAATTTCTTGCAATGACTGAGACTCGACTTGAGACTTGACTTTAAACTTGGAGTAAATGACTTGAACACATCAATGACAAGACCTGCTCAACTGACAAGCTTCCCCATTGTACCAGTCTGGTATTAATTATTACAGTAGATGTATACCCCATACGTCTTCCTTTTGCAAGGAACCCAAGGTTACTTACAAGGTTCTCCACTCCATTTTATCTTCCCACAAATAACCCCGAGAAATAGGTCAGGCTGAGAGTCAGTGACAGGTCCAGAGTCGCCCAGTAAGCTTCATGACTGGATGGGAACTAGAACTCAGATCTCCCAACGCCCCATCCAGCACTCTTCACCACTGAACCACACTGGATCTTGTCGAAGTCCTATTTGCACCAATGACCAGAGCATCATTCCAGGTCTCTGTGGACAGAGGTGCAGTCCAGGGCTACTGGATGCATTGCTTGTGATAAGTTGGGCTTAATCTTTCAAGAAGAAAAATAACTCATTAGTGGGATGCTGTCCTGTTCAACAAAGAAAGCTACTCTGTGACCCAAGAGGTTGCATGTTGTGATCTATTTATTGGCCTAAAAAAAAGAAAGCATTTGGGTCAAATTATCTATTTTGTAGGCATTAAAATATAAAACATCCACACTGAATGGTGACACAAATAATTAAGTCTTTCAATTGACTCCTTTTGATCAATTTTCGTCTGACCTTAAATGTAGCTGGTCAGCCCTTTTCTTAAAACTACTGATTATGTAGCGAGATTAACTTAGCAATTACTGGTTGATATCCTTAATAGTCTATTTAAATGTTGTCCCTTCCTTGTTTTGACTGCATCCGCTTGAAAAAAGAAAGCCTAGATACCATATTATGCTCTAGGCATCCCAGAATTAACAAGAAAACAAAAAGTGACTGAATTCTGTTGCAAGTGGTTTGTATGATAATAGTCCTCTCATGAATCCAATGATAACTGGATTTTTCATGATCTTCAAAATAATACAGTTGCCTTAGAAATTAAATTAATAAGAAGGAACTCTGAGCTTACGAAAGAAAGAAATGACTTCAGTAAAGCTGGACATTCTTTCATGCTTTCTCTCTACTATTTTTAATGCTACTGAAATTCCATACAGAAAAAATATTTTCTTTCTTTCCAACACTTCTCTGCTTCTAAAAGTGGTACTTCAGGTTACGTATTAAATGACCTTCTGGGGGAACCTATTTTATTGTAATCAACCATTTAGTGCCAGCAAGATGGCGTTTTTGCTTCACAGTTAGTTGTTTCACTGAGATTAAGGAACCCTGCACCTTCTGTATGTGCATTATTTATTGAACCGTGTTTGAAGAAATTCGTCTACTGCTTTTCATTGATGGGAGTTTCTGGCTAACAGCACTTTAAATAAGTGGAAAATGCTCAGTTATCACCCAATGCGAACAGGATCAATAATGCCTTAGTAGTGGCTGATAATTGCTGTAGCTGTTCTATACAAACGCTTGCATCTTCTTGAGTGACTCTTATCAATCCATTGTCCATCATCATCTGATAATTAGGCCAAAAATATAGTGGGGAATTATCCCTTTTTGAATCAGGATGGTGAAAAACATTTGAAGCAATAGTTTAAAAATCTTATTGTTCCACTCAGCAGAGTCTAAAGTAGAGGGGGGTGGGGGTGGAGAACCACCAGCCTGAGTAGCTGAGTAACTAAAGGGTGAATGTGTGTGCATCCACTAAGAACAAGTGGGTGTGAGTGAGAGAGAACATCTGAAGATGCTTCTGGAACGAGTTGAGTAGTGACAGCTATTTGTAATGTACTAGGGATAAACTGAGAGTTTAGCCTTGAGATGCTGCGTCATCATGCTGACTAGCACATCTCTGTCCCATCCATCCCATGGTCACCCCTGATTATTGGCCAAAAGTGCTGCTAGCACTGCCGAGAATTACAGTCAAAAGCATCCGGAGGGCATCCAGCAGGAGAAGGCTGCTCAGATGTATTGCTCCTTTTGCACTTGGCTTCTCCCTACTATCTCTTTCTGCAGTTTATAATTAAATATGACTGCACTGGGCTTTCTAAGCAACTTTTCGCAACACCACCATTTCATTATGTATTGTATTTAATATCCCACCTTTTTTCTTTCAAGTTGCCCAAGGAAGATAACATAAAACTGCTCTTGCCCTCATACAAACCCTATAAGAACCAGTGACTGGCCAAATGTTACCCAGTGAGTGTCAGGGCTGAATGGGGAATAGAACGTGGAGCTCTCAACCCCCACTCTTTCACTCTGACCAGTACACCACACTGGCGTCCACTGACTTTACTATTACTGTGGTTGCTCTCCTCCATCTTATGTCACACCCTGGCATCATTCAAGGTCCAGGCAGAACTGTTTCCTCTCCAGTTGGAACCAGAACCAAAGGCCAAACTGCACATTACAATTTCTGCCATCCTCCCCTGAAGTCAGCCTTTGTGAGCACCTTCGGGTTTGCAACATGCTTCATTTACTCTCCACAGAAAAAAAAGGAGAAACCCACCATGCCATGCACAGCTCAGTACATTGCTCCTTCACCAAATCACCCGTGGTCCCATCCTGGATGAGAGAAGGGAGTACATGCACAGCAGCTTTCATGTACCCAGCTGTCCAACGGGGAGAAGAAGGAACCATTTTGCTGCTGCGCATGCTCAGTTGCAGCGATCAGCTTCCTTCCCAGGCTAGTCAACTGTTTTGTCTTTTTGACTATGCATTCTTGAGCTCTAGCCCTGTTTCTGTACTATCCCACTGCCACACCAAATTCCAAGGGCTTCTCTACATGAGGCATTTCACTGGCTGTTTTACTTGAAACGTCTCCCTCCATTTTCTTTCCAGGAGGAGGAGAGTATCCTTACCATGGGGGGCAGGATTCATTTTTCTCTGCCTTTCATCATTCAACCACAAGGTGGTGCTGTAGCATAGCTTTGCTATAGCAGAATTGTGACATCACACAGAGGTTTCATTCCACTTTGTTCTGGATTTGAAAGTTAATCACTGACTTTCTGCACTCTAAAAAAGGCTGCGGTAATGTCTGGAAAACATGGGAGAGGACTTGGTGGAGAACACTCCTGTGAGTGAGGAATCATGAGCACACACTCAATGCCTTGTGTTGAGAAGCTCTAAATTTCCCTGGTGCTGCTGAAATTCTAAACACATCTTTTCCATGGAAGTTTACTGCATTTAATAGAATTTATTTTCACTGTGAGTCGAAGAGTGTAGCATTAAACACTTGGTGGCTATTTCTTGACTCTACTGTTGCTATTGTTCATGCTGTTTTCTCCAACTTTTGACAACCCTATGAATGAATGTCTCCAAAATGTCCTGTTCTTGACAGCCATTCTCAGCTCTTGCAAATGCAAGTCTGTGGCTTTTTTAATGGAATTGATCTATTTCATATTTGTTTTTCATCTTCTTCTGCCTTTGACTCTTCCTGATGTTATTCTCTTCTCCAGGGAATCTTGCCTCCTCATGATGCGCTCAAAGTACAATGTTTCAGGTTTGCCATTTTTGCTTCCAGGGCAAGTTCTAACTTTATTTCATGTATGACCCACTTGCTTGTCTTTCTTCCAGTCCAAGGTATTTTCAAGGCTCTCCTCCAGCACCATCTTTTGAACATGTCCATTTTCTATCTGGCAGCTTTCACACCCATACATAGTTATTGGGAATGCAATAGTGTGCATGATCTTGGCCTTGGTCTTCAGTGAAATGTCCTTAGATTTGATCAACTTTTCTAGTTCCTTCATTGCTGTCATTCCAAATCCCACTCTTCTAATTTCTTGGCTGCAGTCTCCTTTGAATTGTTGACTGAGCCTAGGTATGCAAAAATGTTTAACAATGTCAATTTCTTCATTGTTGACATTAAAGTTCTGTAATTCTTCTGTGTCAGGATTTTTTGTTTTCTTAAAGTTCAGCTGAAGTCTTGCTTTTTTACTTTCTTCTTTCACTTTCATCAGAAATCATTTCAATTCACTGCTGCTTTTTGCCAGTAATATGTCTTAAATTCTTGATGTATCTTCCATCAGTTTTTACCCCTTTCTCTAATTCAGCTTTCCTTATAATATGTTCTGCATACAGATTGAACAGAGATAAAATACATCTTTGTCTGACACCTTTGCCTATGGGAAACCATTCAGTTTCTCTATATCCTGTCCTCTGTGGTTTCTTGTCCATGATTAAGGTTACTTACCAAGATGATCAAGTGGTGAGCAGTACACCCATCCATAATTTGTTATGATCCCCACAAAGCCTTTGCTGTAGTCTATAAAGTGTAGACTGATCATCTTTGAAATTCTTTGGTGTGCTTTACTAACCAATGTGTATTTGTGATATGATCTCTGGTGCCTATTACTTTCTGGAATCCAGTCTGAATGCCAGGCATTTCTTGCTCCATAAAGGTTAACATTCTTTGTTGCAATACCTTGAGCATCACTCTGTTGTATGGGAAATCAGTTCCCATTCCCAGTTCCCATCTTCTTTCATGGGGATCAAGATATATAATGAATGTTTCCCATCTGTGGGCAATTTGTTGCCATTTTTTGTTAGGATTTGAACTGATTCAGTCTTTGCAGATTGGAATGGTTTAACTGGTATCCTCTCTATTATGGATTAGAGAGGATACCAGTTCAACCATTGAATACCAAGAATACCAGCTCATTCTTTCCAACTGCTTCCAGAACTGCTTTCACTTCACTTTTTAATATCGC